TGGGAATAGTAGTGGGGATGGGATGGGATGGGATGGGATGGGGATGGGGATGGGGATGGGATGGGGTGGGATTGGGGATGGGATGGGAGTGGGATTGGGGATGGGAATGGGGATGGGATTGGGATTGGGATGGGATGGGAATGGGATTGGGAGTGGGAATGGGATTGGGATGGGATGGGAATGGGGATGGGAATGGGGATGGGATTGGGGATGGGGTGGGATTGGGGATGGGATTGGGATTGGGATTGGGATTGGGATTGGGATTGGGATTGGGATTGGGATGGGATGGGGATGGGATGGGAATGGGATTGGGGATGGGATGGGGATGGGATTGAATGGGGATGGAATTGGGATGGGATGGGAATGGGGATGGGACTGGGAATGGGATGGGAATGGGATTGGGGATGGGATTGGGGATGGGATGGAATGGGATGGGAAAGGTAATAGGGATGGGGACAGGAACAGGGATGGGGACGAGGATGGCGACAGGGACAGGGATGGAGACAGGGATGGGGATAGGGACAGGGATGGTGACAGCGACAGGGACTGGGAGGCGGGGGACAGGGATGGGAACAGGGATGGGATGGGGACAGGGATGGGGACAGGGACCGGGATGGCAACAGGGCCAGGGCTGGGGGAGAGGGACAGGTGGGATACGATGGGGATGTGGGATGTGATGGGGATGTGGGATGCGATGGGGATTTGGGATGCAATGGGAATGTGGGATGCAGTGGGGATCTGGGATTTGATGGGGATCTGAGATGCGATGGAGATGTGGGATACGATGGGGATGTGGGATGTGATGGGGATGTGGGATGCGATGGGGATTTGGGATGCAATGGGGATCTGGGATGCAATGGGGATCTGGGATTTGATGGGGATCTGAGATGTGATGGAGATGTGGGATACGATGGGGATGTGGGATGTGATGGGGATCTGGGATGCGATGGGGATTTGGGATGCAATGGGAATGTGGGATGCAGTGGGGATCTGGGATTTGATGGGGATCTGAGATGCGATGGAGATGTGGGATACGATGGGGATGTGGGATGTGATGGGGATGTGGGATGCGATGGGGATTTGGGATGCAATGGGGATCTGGGATGCAATGGGGATCTGGGATTTGATGGGGATCTGAGATGTGATGGAGATGTGGGATACGATGGGGATGTGGGATGTGATGGGGATGTGGGATGCGATGGGGATTTGGGATGCAATGGGAATGTGGGATGCAGTGGGGATCTGGGATTTGATGGGGATCTGAGATGCGATGGAGATGTGGGATACGATGGGGATGTGGGATGTGATGGGGATGTGGGATGCGATGGGGATTTGGGATGCAATGGGGATCTGGGATTTGATGGGGATCTGAGATGTGATGGAGATGTGGGATACGATGGGGATGTGGGATGTGATGGGGATCTGGGATGCGATGGGGATGCAGGATGTGATGGGGATCTGGGATGCCACCGGGGATCTGGGATGCGATGGAGATACGGGATGCAATCAGGATGCAGGAAGCAATGGAGGCGCAGGATGCCGTGGGGATGTGGGGTGTGACGGGGCAGCGGGATGCGACAAGGATGCGGGATGCAATAAGGATGCGGAATGCCATACGGATGTGGGATGCAACGCAGGTGTGGGATATGATAGGGATGCAGGATGCGATAGGGATGTGGGATGTGATAGGGATGCGGGATGCGATAGGGATGTGATAGGGATGTGGGATGC